GAGGACCTTCAAGTTCTTCCCCTTGTACATATTACCCTTCCTTAACTTAGAGGCGAGAGGAAGATCGTAGAGGAAGATCGTGTAGCTGCCGCAGTGCAGATAATTGTCTGGTCTGCACCCCTTGTGCTGGTCTTTAAGTCTAGGTATCAGCTCGTTAGTGAATTCATTCAGCGACTTGCTAGCGCCATAGAGGTGTCGTCTTTCCTTAAAACTGCTCTCTGAGTCTCTGCTACGTTCTGCATCAGCCACGCTTTCGCATAACCCTTCAGTGCAGCACACACAAAGATTACCTGTCGATCTGATGGTGGGACTCGTTCTGCAAACATAAAAGCCATATCTCTGCAATCCACACGTCGACTGTATTCTCGTCCTTTCTGCCGTGATCATCCACAGGGAACGTCATCTTGTGTTGCAATCCGTTGTCCCTCCTGTACTGAAGTCGAGTACCTTCACATTGTGCCAAATAGTCGAGGCCTGTTTATATTAAATGTCTCCAGCGCTTGCAGGGAAATGGCTGTGTTTCAGGTTGCGATAGGTCTCTTTGCCCCCTGCCTATGCACTGGTCTCTTCTCTATTGTTGGCTAGCATCGTCGCTTCCATTATAATCCAGAGAGTATACTTACTGTCTTACCATCTGGAATGTCCGCTTCTGGTATTGTTGCCATGACTTGACTTCGGGAGGTCCATGACTCCATGCTAAGTAGTGGCCTTCTCTTATTCTCCAGAAACGGAGCGTCAAAAATTTGGCCCCACAAGGTCTTGTCTTCCTCGCAGGCGTATGCTGCTTCCCGACAGAAAATGAGGCAACGAGTCACTGTCTCCGGCGCATCCTCCCTGCACCGAGCACACGCTTGGTTGGTGCAATCCCTACATTGATGGCTGCCACATTCGTAGAGCCGTGTGTTGCCTGGTAGCGCAAGATGGAAGATCAACCATTGCATGCACCTAGCTCTCCCCGAGCGTATGGTTTGTAGTGCTACTTGTGCTTTGGATACTTCCATTCTCTTTTCCCATCGCTAGCGGCTCCGTCAGCAGGTAATTTTTTTATTCTTTCTTTAAACCTATAATATTATCCCGTATTTGTTGTGCAATGTACTATGCTAATCCTCCTGGCCAGTTTTTTTGCCCGCCCGGGCAAGTTGTCCAGGGCCACTCTGGTAGCCTACTAGGCGTACTCCCCCTAATATGCCCCCCCCAATATTCCATCCAACCCCCCCCCCCCGTCAGTCCATCCCTGCCCAGGGTTTTGCTGGGAGACATCGGCTTGAGTGCTTCCCACAGCTCCTCCCGTGAAAGCGGGGAATCCAACATATCCACCCCTGGTTCTCGGTCACTGTGTGCTGGAGGTGAGACAGGAAGTTGGACCTTGCCTGCTGTACTTGGTGAGCGGGGTGTTCAGCCTCCTTTGACGGTGTTTTTTTTTTTTTTTTTTTTTTTTTTTTCATACGTTACTGTCGAAGTTACGAGGCACCGCTACCATGTCTTGTGTTTCCAGGCAGGTGGTGATTGAGATTGGTTGGGTGTCTTCCTGGCTCTTAATGGTGCGTGAACCTAGGGTCTGCTGGGTTTTCCATATCATGTGAGTATGTGATAGTCCACTTTGTTCCCGGCTGGATCCATGGGTTCCTATGTTGTTGGGTGTCTTGCTGTGTGGGTGTCCCGCCCACCTGCCCACCTGCGTACCATTCAGTCCCTTGTTCCCTGACTGCTTACTGTGCTGCCCTGCTGCTTGCCTTGCTCTGCTTCCTTGTTCCCTTGCCTTGCTGCCTCACTGCCATGCTGCCCTGCTGCCCTGCTGCCCTGCTGCTTGCCTCGCTCTGCTGCCTTGCTGCCTCATTGCCTTGTTGCTTTCCGACCTTGTCAATGTTATTATTTCATGGTAACCCCGGACCCGGACACTTCCGGACTGTCTTCCGGACC